TTGTGAATCCCAGTGTGACCAATTTACCACTGGCAAAGTCAAATTCAGTTAAATATCCATTCCAAGACCACAGCAAATGAAGTTTGTTTTTGTTTTAAGAAAGATTTTCAAACTAAAACTGTAGGACTTAATCCAGCTTTCTACCAAGTGAGAAAAAATGTTTTTCTTGTGAGCTGTATAGTCCTAAATTTATCATTAAAAGTACTTATAAATGGGCACAGGGTTTCTTTAGTGGGTGATGAAAATATTTTTACATCAACTGTGGTGATATTGTACAACTCTGTGAAAACAGTTAAAAATGATTGAATTCCACCCTTTAAATTGATGAACTGTATGGTATAGAAATTATATCTCAATAAAGCTGTTATTTTATTTTTTATAGAGATTTTATTTATTTATCTTTATAAAAGGGAAAGAAAAAGGAGAGAAATATCAATGTATTGTTGCCTCTCGTGAGTCCCCTGCTGGGAACTGGCCTGCAACCCAGGCATGTGCCCTGATTGGGAATCGAACCGCGACTGTGTAATTCGCAGGCCTGCGCTCAATCCACTGAGCTACACCAGCCAGGGCCTGTTATTTTTTAAAAGTAAAAAAATCAACTGTTATCATATTAATAAACCATATACTATAATCATGTCACTAGGGAAAAAATGCACTGGACAAAATTTAACATCTACTCCTGGTTAAAACAGGAGCAGGTGGGGTGGGATATGGGTAGGGCAGGAAAGAGCAATGGGGAAAAATGTGAGACAATTATAATTGAACAAAAATAAAAAAACTCTTTAAGCAAACTAGGAGTACAAGGAAGTTTCTTTAATGTGATTCAAGAAAAGATCTATGAGAACTCTACAGTTAACATCATAGGTTAAGCGTTAAAAGGTGAATTCTTGCCCTAAAGAATCAGGAACAAGACAGGAATGACCCCTTTTCTCCATCTACTCAGCACTATACTGCAATTTCTAGCCAGAATTTCTAATTAGGCAAGATAAAGAAACAAAAGGCATCGTATAGGAAAGGAAGAAGTAAACTTGGCTCTATTAGCAGACAACATGATCATATAAACAGGAGCCAGCAAACTCCAACCTGTGGGCCAGGTGGCTTGTTTCAGTCAATAAAAAGTTACTGAAATACAGTCATGTCCATTAATTTATGTATTGTCTGTGGCTACTCTTATGTTACAGTGGCAGAGCTATTTAGTTGTTATAGAGAATGTTATTGGCCACAAAGTCTTAAATACTTACTACCTTTAGTATAATAGTAGTTTAGGAAAGTTTGACAACCTTTGGTTATGTAGAAAATGAAGTCTGCCAAAAAGCTACTAGAACTAATAAATGAATTTAGCAAAGTTGAAGGATACAAAATCAATATACAAAAATCAACTGTATTTATGTATGTTAGCAGTGAGCAATCAGAGATTAAAATTTAAGATATATTATTTACAATTGCATTAAAAAATAAGAAATATTTATGGATAACCTCATAAGAGATAGAAAGACCTATACATTAAAATATTACTAAGAAAAAATTAAAGATGTTCTGTATAAATGTACATGAACTTTGATCAGGGGTTGAAAATTTGATATTGTTAAAAAATTAATTTTTCACAAGTTAATCTGCGGACTCAACATGATCCAAATCTAATTTTGAGAATGCTAACAGGATTTTAAAAAAAATTGATAGGCTGATTTAACATTCATGCAGAAATACAAAGTAACCTATAATAGCAAAATAATCATGGAAAAGAGCATAACTGGAGGATTGACATGATCTGATTTCAAGAACTTTTATAAACCTACAGTAATTAAAACAACTTAAACTGACGTAAGGATGTATCCATCAATGGGACAGAACAGAGTCCAGAAATAAACCTACAAACACACATGGTGAACTGATTTTGACAAAGGCACAGTGGCATAAAGTAGAGAAAATATAGCCTTTTCAACAAAGGGTGCTGGAAAAATTGGATATATATATGCGAAGAAATGAACTTGAATCCATACCTTGCCTCAGCATGTAAAAGAGAACACAAAATGAACCATATCTAAATACTAGACCTAAAACTATAAAACTTCCAGAGGAAAACTGTAAAAGAAATTTTTGTGATCTTGTGCTAGGCAAAAATTGTTAGACATGAACAACAAAAAAAAAATCCATAAAAGAACAAATGAATATACTGGATTTCATGAGAGAGAAAAAGGGCACTGGCCAGTGTCATGGCTTAGTGGGTATACACATCCTCATCAGAATGGCTAAGATTTAAAAACTGACAATACTTAATGTTAGTGAAAATATGGAGGAAATGGAATTCTCATGCACTGCTGGTGGGAATGGAAAATGGCACCCCCCCCAACTCAGCAGTCTCTTAAAAAGGGATACAAAAAAGTATGAGGAAAACTTAGGGGTGATGGATATGCTGACTATCTGGATTGTGGAGATGAGTTCATATGTGTACACACACATCAAAACTATCAAGCTATACACACTTCATATGTTTGTAGTTTACCTAATCAAGCTGTTGGAAATAAAGCATTATTACAGGAAAAAAATATAAGATAGTGGCTGTAACACAGATGGAAAGAGGATATAAAATGATACAAAATGAAGCTAGAGGATATTGTGGCCTTTAACCTTAGAGCAATGAGAAGTAAAGGCTCAGTTTTAAATACAATGAGATCGGGGACTGCTGGCCAAGATGGAGGCATACATAGGCTTTGCCTCCTCACATAACCAAAAGAAGGACAAAAAACAATTTAAAAACAAAAAATAAACAGAACTGCCAGAATGTATACAAAATAAAAATGTATGGAAGTCTGACAACCAAGGAGTTAAAGAAGACATATTTATCCAGACTGGTAGGAGGAGTGGAGGTGGGCAGTTGGGGCAGAGAAGACTCGAGACAAAGCAGTGGCTGGAGGACTAGGTGGGCAAGGCAGTAGCTGGCTGTCCCACATTTGCACGTGGGTAAACCAGGAGGAACAACTGGGGAGTGAGACAGACCATGCAACCCAGGGTTTAAGCATGGGGAAATAAAACTCAAAACCTCTGGCTGTAAAAACCTATGGGAGTTGTGGTGGTGGGAAATACTCCCAGCCTCACAGGAGAGTTAGGTGGAGAAACCCACAGGTTCCTAGAACATACACAAACCCACCCACCCAGGAATCAGCACCAGAAGGGCCCAATTTGCTTAGAGTACAGGGGTAAGTGACTCAAACCCAGCCTAGAGCCAATCAAGAGACACTATTCTATGACCCCTCCCCTACCTACAGTGCCACAACGAAGCCATGTGGGTTGCCCTAATCTGGCAAATATCTGAGGCTCTGCCCCTTACATCATAATGGGCGCACTGTGACAAAGAAATAGGGCCAAATCAAAGAACTGATCAAAGCTTCAAAAAAAATACAACTAAGCGATGAGGAGATAGCCAACTTGTCAGATGCAGAGCTCAAAACACTGGTAATCAGGATGCTCAAAGACATGGCTGAGTATGATCGGAAAATAGAGGAAAAAGTGAAGGATATGCAAAGTGAAATAATGAAAAATATATAGGGGACCAACATTAAAGGGAAAGAAATCAGGACTGAAATCAACGAGAAGGAATAAATAAACATTCAACTGGAACAGAATGAAGAAACAAGAATTCAAAAAAGTGAGGAAAGGCCTAGGAACGAACCTCTAGGAAAACTTTAAACATTACAACATCCGAATCACAGGGGTGCCAGAAGGAGAATAACAAGAGCAAGAAATCCAAAACTTATTTGAATAAATAATGAAGGAAAACTTCCCCAATCTGGCTAAGGAAATAGACTTCCAGGAAGTCCAGGAAGCTCAGAGAATCCCAAAGGAGTTGCACCAAAGGAAGCACACACCGCGTGGCACATCATATTTAAATTACCCAAGGTTAAAGATAAGGAGAGAATCTTAAAAGCAGCAAGAGAAAAGGAGATAGTTTTTTACAAAGGAGTTCCCATAAGACTATCAGCTGATTTCTCAAAGGAAACTTTGCAGGCAAGAAGGGGCTGGAAAGAAATGTTTGAAGTAACGAAAGGCAAAGACCTACCGGTACATCCAAGATTGCTCTATCCAGCAAAGCTATCATTTAGAATGGAAGCACAAATAAAATGCTTCCCAGAAAAGGTCTAGTTAAAAAGGTTCAGCATCACCAAGCCCTTATTATATGAAATATTAAAGGGACTTATCTAAGAAAAAGAAGAAGATCAAAACTATGAACAGTAAAATGACAACAAAGTCACAAAATGATCAACAACTGAACCTAAAAACAAAACAAACTAAGTAAACAACTAAAACAGGCACAGAATCACAAAAATGGAGATCACATGGAGGGTTATCAGTGAATGTGGGGGGAGAGACTGGGGGAAAGGTACATGAAATAAGCATAAACGTAGCTACAAAATAGAAGGGGTAGGTTAAGAATAGTTTAGAAAATGGAAAAGACAAAGAACATATATGTATGACCCACTGACATGAACTAAGTGTGGGGAAATGTTGGTGGGAAAGGGGGAGCAGGGCGGAAGGGAATAAAGGGGAGAAGAAAATCGGACAACTGTAATAGCATAATCAGTAAAATATACTTAAAAATTAAACACAATGAGATCTCAATTTGTAAAAATATATAATAATTACACTTGTACACCAAAGCTCCAGGAGGTGAAAGGGCATGAAAACCAGTTATAAGGTTATTTCAGTATTCTGGGAGGGAATCTTCATAACCTGACCTTGGGTGAAGGCATTGGAGAGAAACAGAGTCAACACACCCATTAGGTGAATGGTATTGCCATTCACACTGAGAAAAGTACAGTGGAAATTATCATAGCTCTTTGGTTGAGAGCAGACAATCGCTCTCACTTTATAGGAATATCAAACATATTTCTTAGATAAACAGCTATACAACATGTCTGTGATCTATGGTTCAATGCTACACAAGTTGTACATATATTACTACAGTATACATAAAACTGCTTTCTATTTATACATGGTCCTACCTTTACAATCCATGCCAAGTTGTTCAATTAGCAACATGAAATTCTTACAGTTGGAGTAAGGCAACTCACAATGTCCCGAAAATGTTTCAGATGACTGAGTTAAGTCATCAAGGTCATCCATGGAATTAAATTTCTGTTTGACCTACAAATAAATAATACTGGTTTTCAAAATGTTGATAAAATATGTTAAGTATATAGAGGTGATAAATATCCACCTTTTTATAACAGTAAAAATATAAGTAGTAAGAGAACTGATTTTTACAAAAAAGATACCTTTATTAATACTATTTCTAAATTACCTTAAAAAGTACATGTCTCTATAACAAAGGAAGATTTCCTGTTGTTTCACTATATCTATTACAATTTGTTTTACTACAAATAATATTTTTGATAGTTTATTTTTTACAATACCTTGTTTTCATCACTAAATGTTTTCTCTTCATACGATGTTTTCTCTGTAGATCTAAAAAGAAAGCAATTCTTCTCATGTAAATATTTAGGATACTTAAGATACACAGAATATCTCAACCCATTGTTTCTTAGGTAATATAAAGTTTATAGTCTTACCTCTGCATTTGTAATTAATTTTCCATAAGGGGGGATTAAACAATAAATAGAATAACATTAAAGGATAGAGAAAATATACCACTAATATTAACATGAAGTATTAAATGTAGACCAAGCTGATAGCCAAAGCAAAAGGAAAAACATAATGTTGTTACTTGTACTACTGATAGGAAGAAATAATATACCGTGGTTTTTCATTGTCATTTTCAATAAACACAAGTTTTTACTGGCACTAAGATCTAGTTGGAAAGTATTACTTAAGCCCTTATATGAAGGAATCCCTCTTATAATAGTCATGATACTAGCTTTTTGCGGACTTACTATGCAACTAGTAAGCATTATTGTGAGCATTTTACATGTCTTAGGAGCATTTTAATGCTTGCAAGAAATCTTGGGGGTAGGCAATGTATTAGGTACTTTACATAGAAAGAAAATGGGGCATAGAAAAGCTAAGTAACTTGCCAGAGTCTACAGAATGGGGAAGATGATGGCGTAGGCAGACAGGACTTGCTTCTTCACACAACCACATCAAAATTACAACTAAACTATGGAACAACCATCACTCAGAACCATTAGAAATCAAGGTGAGTGGAAGTCTTACAACCACGGAATTAAAGAAACCACATCTATCCACCACAGTAGGAGGGGTGCAGACACAGAACAGGCTGGTCCCTTACCCATGTGTGGTGGATAAAAATTTGGGAGGGGTATCTCAGGAGTGAGGAGTCCCAGCCCTGCACAAGGATCCCCCACCACAGCGTTCCAGGGCCAGGAAGATATGTCCCCAAAACTCTGGAGCCCCCTGGCTGCAAAAACCAGCAGGCATTGACTCGGTGGAAAAAACTCTTGGAGCCCCAAACAGTTTTTCTTAAAGAACTCACACACGGACTCCCCTACTCAGACTTACTCCTAAGCTCCAGCAGCAAGGTAGCAGCTTCAAAGGTACCAGTGGCATATTGGGAGAAAAGGAAGAGTCTGGCATCAGGGTAAGCAGAAGCCATTGTGTCTTTTCTGAACTCTCCCTAGCACAGAGCCACAGAGCCAGCAAGTAGGTACCATATCTGAGACTCCATCAACCTATTATTATTTTTTGGTTACATAAATTAACCCATTTATTATAGGCCAGCAATGTTTCCCATTGCTGTTTGACCCACCCTGGAGATTCCCCCAGAGACTTGCCCCACCCAACTTATGGACCCCCTAAGCTGCTTTTCCATATGAATGGCTGGTCTTGGCTCATGCCACACAACTTCCTAAATCCTCTCACACAAACAACAGATGGCCTCAGTGAGCCCCAAGGCCTGCACTAAGAACCAGTAGCCAGTCTAGATTCCCAGCTTGGCTCTGCCTGGGAATCTCTAAGTTTAGCACAAATAGCAGTCATCTCACATTGCTCTAGAGCTCAGGCAGGGCTGCCCTGGGCAAAACACAGGTGAGGGCTGTCCTTGGCCTGCACCATCCAAGGAACCCCAGGGCCAGCACACCCAGTTGGACAGCTACAGACCACATCAGAGACAACCACCCTGCCCCTATACAGCTGATCCTCCACAAAGTGTGGAGACTGATGGTAAGTGGTCACAGCCAATACTTGCAGCCAACTGGCCTATGTAAATCCCTCCCACTGATCTGCCAACAGTGACCAAAACTTAAGTACAAAAGAAGGGTGTGCTCAGCCTACACGAAGCACGCATCTTGAGTACCCAACTTGGGTGACAGGAGAGGCTGTGCCACTGGACTCTACAGGACACATACTGCGTTAGGCCATCCTACCAAGACATGGAGTCAAAGCAGCTCTAGCTAATACATAGAAACAAACACAGGGATGCTGCCAAAGTGAGGAGACAAAGAAACACTGCCCAAATGAAAAAACAGATCAAAATTCCAGAAAAGAGCTAAACAAAATGGAGATAAGGGATCTTTCATATGCAGAGTTCAAAACACTGTTAGTAATAAGGATTTCCAGTGTTGCTGGTAAGGATTGCTCAGGGAACTTAGTGAGGACTTCAACAGCATAAAAAAGATCCATTTAGAAACAAAAGATACACTAATTGAAATAAAGAACAATTTACAGAAAAACAACAGTAGAGTGGATGAAGCCAAGAGTCAAATCAATGATTTGGAACATAAGGAGACAAAAAACAACCAATGAGAACAATAGAAAAGATGAGGACAGCTATCCCCCTGGGACAACTTAAGAGGTCCAACATTCGTATCATGGGGTAGCAGAAGGAGAAGAGAAAGAGCAAGAAATTGGAAATCTATTTGAAAAAAAAACTTCCCAAATTTGGTGAAGAAAATAGACATGCAAGTCCAGGAAGCACAGACTTCCAAACAAGATGAATGCAAAGAGGCCCCTCCCAAGACATATAATTAAAATGCCAAAGCTTAACAATAAAGAAAGAATCTTAAAAGCAGCAATGGAAAAAAGTTTGTTACCTACAGGGGAGTTCTTATAAGACTGTCAGCTGATTTTTCAAAAGAGACTTTGAAGGCTAGAAAGGACTGTCAAGAAATATTTGAAGTCATGAAAATCAGGGACCTACATCCAACATTGCTCTACCCAACAAATCTAGAATTGAAGGGCAAAAACCTTTCCAGACAAGAAAAAACTAAACTAAAGGAGTTCATCATCACCAAACCATTATTATATGAAACGTTAAAGGGACTCAGTTAAGAAAAAGGAGATCAAATGATTAACAATAAAATGGCAAAAATATATATCTATTAACAATTGAATCCAAGCAAACAAAAACTAAAAGTTGTACAATATACAAACTAAGTTGTATGCAAGTTGTATAACAAACAAGCTGTACAAAACAAAACTAACAACATTTCTAAAAAATATAGCTATGCAAATAACTTCTGGTTAACACTAAGCATCTAAAAAAGGAGGGATCTTTATGAGAGCAATTATTAAATAATTCCTCTTGACCCAAACTTCAAAAATAAGTCTATAATTATAGAATATGAGATAATCTTCATTATGAACATAGTTGATGGACAGTGAAAAAATTTGGTTAAAGTTGCCTCAGACTTAGGAAAAGATTGACAAGTGGCCATGGTAAAAGTAGCCACCAGAACCACTTTTAATTGTGTTTAATCAGTCAGTGACCATGGCCTCACTCACCAATCAATGTAGACCGCTTCCTTCTGAAAGAAAGCCATTCAGGGACAACCTTATTTGAATAAAGAAACCCCAGAGTGCCAGCCAATCAACACGCATCTCCCCAGAATAACCAGGCTGCCTCAGATGATGTCAACCCACATAAGCCTCTGAAAGTCCATTAGTCCCTCAACCCCACTTGTCCAGAAACCCTGGAAAGCAGGAGCAGTCCACTGTGTCAGGAAAGACTCTGCCTGGCCAGCAGAGCTTTCTCAGTATAATGAGCAACAAATACCAACTTTATCTTTTTATTTCAGATACTGAGAGTTCATTAACCTTTGGCAAAAAATTTTTAAAGCCCTAGAATAACTTATCACCACTATATTTTCTGCTTCATAATAAAATATAAGTGCAGTTTGCTATTCCTTTGATCCATTTTACCCTTACTAACACTACTATAAATATGAATAATAAAAATGGTGAGTAAGCACAATATTGGGCTTCTCTCCCTAAGTGGAAAAGTGTTCATGGAGAAATTAGAGCTTATTAGAGCAAAAAAGAATATTTGAAATGCACATAATTGGCAGGTAAAATTGTCAGAATGATTCCACATCAAACTTATTTCTTATTTCCATATGAGCTGCATAGTGTTTAAGACAACACGCTTAGGTGAAACTCCATCCACTCAGTCAATATTTGTGTAGTACTGCATGCTAGGCCCTTTTCTAGGCATTGAGGCTATGGCAGTGATACAAAAAACCCTAGTCATGAGAGTGATGTAAATGCACAATAATAATAAACTAGAGAGGAAAAATATACAGCATGTTAGAGGAGATAAATGAAATTTTAATGTGTTGTGTGGGGAGAAGGTCAGTCGAGTAATAGGCTGGCCAAGATAGGTCTTGCCAAGAAAGAGGATCGTAAGTAAAGAACAAAAAGAATGGAAAAAGCATGCCATCTGTATATCTGAGGGAAACGCATTCCAGATTGAATCAACAACAAGTACACATGTATGCCTGCAGCGTTTAGGAATAGTGAGAAATTCAGTCTGGCTCAAAGAGAACAAAAGGGATAGAAAATAGAAGTTCAAGTCAAAAACAGAGATCTAAGATGAAGAGATTATGTAAGACCTTGTAGGTATTATGAAGAACTTTGGCATGTACTCTGAGTGAAATGGGAGGCAATTAGAAGGTTTTGAGTAGAGGAATGGCATTATCTGACTCATCTTTTAATAGGTCCACTGTGTTTAGAATGGAGAAAAGAGTAAAAAGGGGGGGGCAAAGAAAGAAAGGAAGGAGAGAGGGAGGGAGGGAAGGAGAGAGAAAGGGAGGGAAGGAAGGAAGGAAGGAAGGAAGGAAGGAAGGAAGGAAGGAAGGAAGGAAGGAAGGAAGGAAGGAAGGAAGGAAGGAAGACTTCAGAAAATGGTATCTCATTGTTTGTTAACTTATATTTATTTGATTACCACACAACACTGAACATCCCTAGTAAAAATATTAAATTTGCTTATCATGAATATGAGCTCAAATTACAATTTGCTTCATAGGAAAATAAAAATCACCTACTATTAAATATTGCTGTCACCTTACCTATCAGAATATTCACTCCCTATAACAGGGAATGGCTGCTTATCAGTTTGTTCGCGCTTCCTTTGTTGAATTAATCCATTGCTGTCGTCAGCGTCAGCATTGTGCACGTTTTCTATTACAGCCACTTCACTACTGTTGTGCATCTTTTCCTCTTCTTCAACCTTTAATGACAGTTTGGTGTTAAGGATCATTATTATTACTTTATTTATCAAAAAGACATGTTGTGTTTTCATTAATTTTATCATTCAGGCTCTTAGTTTGTCATGACTTTAATCAGTAAAAATATTTTTGTGCTTACTTTCATTTTATCATTACAGGTCTTTGAAATTCTAAATTCTACTTTATTTCTGTTTCAATAAAGCCAAATTTTCTGATTTCAAAAAGGGCTTTCTTAATTCTGGGCTCTGTTCACATGCACTCTCCCTTTACCCCCCTTCCATTTGTCCAGCAGAAACACAGAAACAAAAGGACAAGGACATAAAATCTGTCATCATCTCTTTCCGACCTGCATTCTGCGTTACACAGACAGGTTGGGAGGACGTGACACTGTGCTTCAGTAACAAACAGGAGGCTTTCCTCTTTCCGCAATCAGCTGTATTTTTTGTATGTTGACTTTTACAATTATTTTTGCTTTTAAATCCCGAAGTTATAAAAAAGTGATAGTATTCATAAAATATATGAACCAAATTTTACTGCAACATAGGAACAGAGTGAAAGTGATGGATTGTTAGGTAATGTACAATCCTGGAAAATGAGTAGGGCTCCCTAAATTTCACATTCAATAACCATTAAATTTTATAGCTAGAGGATATGGTATAGAAGTAATTATCTACATTAGCCCCGTATTTGCTGATAATGGGAATAAAACCAAGGTTAAATGATCTGTCCAAAGCTCCTAAAGATGTAATACCTAGCATTTTACGCCACCAAAAGAGATGATACACTTCTATAATGCTGAATCAGATAAAAGAACAGAACAATTCATCAAATTAATCAGATAAATTAAAAGTGTGACTTCTGCCTATTAATTTAATGCTTTAGTTTGGGGAGAGGGCTCATCCATCTCTTGCCTTTAAAGGAGAGTATCTCAACTTTTGTCTGTTTTTTAAAGTCAGTGTGCCTCAAAACTCAGTTTTCTCCTTTAAATACTAAATTTTTGGTAAAGCTGTTTTGCTACCTATATGATGTCATACATGTCAAAATTTTCCACACTTTATTAAACAACATTATATAAAGGTTTGAATGTACAAAACCATCTGAGAGGAATGATAAACTAAAGATATGTGGAAGTATATGTTTGTTACTAAAAATATCTCAAAGCGGTCACTTTGGAACCCTAAGTTCCAGGGCTCTGAGTCAAGCATTTAAGATTGCACACACTGACCTACGATAATAGATGAGTTCAGCTGGGAATATTTGTTCATGTTGCTTCCCTCAGTCATGGCTTCCTTCCCATTTTATTGCTTATGGAATGCAATTTATATTGAAGCTGATAAACTAAAAAAACCCCAAAACCCTGCTGCTTATTACATTTTTAAAGCAATTTTTTAAAACATATTTTATTAATTATGCCATTACAGTTGTTCTATTTCCCCCCTTCATTCCCCTCCACCTTGCATACCCCCTCCCCCACCAATCCCCCTCCTTTAGTTTATGACCACGTGTCTCAAAGTTCTTTAGATTCTATATTTCCCATACTATTCTTGCTCTCCCCCTATCTATTTTCTACCTACTGTCTATGCTACTTATTTTCTGTACCTTCTCCCCCTTCTTCTCCCACTCCCCTGTTGCTAACCCTCCATGTGATCTTCATTTCTATGGTTCTGCTCCTGATCTAGCTGTCCTCTTAGTTTGCTTTTGTTTTAGGTGTGGTTCTTAATAACTGTGTGTTCAGATTCAGGTCATATGGTACATACCTAAATTAGTGTCCCAGTTCACATGGAAGACTGAGAGAGAGACTTAAGTTGATTAAAGAACAAAAATTATAAGAATGTTTTCCTGAACTACCATTATTTGGATGACCAAAATAGTCAATTTCGGGACTGAATTACAAATTTATACAAACTCATTTTACACACAAACTTTTTCATAAGTGGAAAATAAGAATGGATCAGATAATTGATAAGAGAAAAACTAAAAAGTAGCAGTAAGTTAACTTCTACCTTTTTTTGAAGTTTATCTTTCTTTTTCCAAAGCCAGAAAACTTAATTTTAACATATCTACCTCATTCTTAAAACTTTGTATACCTGCTGTGATTCTTCTTTAGATAATTTTTTAGATGTTCTGTCATTATATGGTAGAGAAAAACTCCCATTAAAATCTTTTTTCAAGATTTTATTTATTTATTTTAGAGAAATGGGAAGAGAGGGAGAAAGAGAGAGAGAAACATCAATGTCCAAAAAGACACATCAAAAGTTTGCCTCTCACACACCCCCAACTGGGGACCTGGCCCGCAACCCAGACCTATGCTTTGACCCAGAATCAAACTGGTGACATTTTGGTTCACAATCAATCCACTAAGCCACATAAGCCAGGGCAAAATTTTCTAATTCCTGTTCCATGCTTTTACAGTTATTAGTAAATATCTTCATATAATGGCATCTGGGACAAATCTTGACTCTGATTTTGTTTCCATATAACTATTTGTAACTGCAGAAATATCCTGTCTTATCTGATGCACATGCTTCACTTTATTGCAGTAGGCAAACCACAAATCAAGGACGCTTTTTGGATCAAAAGACTGAGCTGTATGTCTGAGGCCTAATTTCCAATTAGTAGTATCTGTGTTCACATTTCCACCATCTACACACCAAACTCATTGTCTTTTTTTTCATTTCAAACTGCACTACTGGGTATTTTACTTTTTGCTTTTATAACCTTATAAAAACTCTTTTTGTTAGTTTTTGTTAGAAACAACTCAAGGTCTGGTTTGTTATCATTTTTATAGTGTATTTGTATCCCATTAAATAAAGCTTGGAAGAAGATCACCTGCAAACATACTCCAAGGGCCCTGGGTATGAATGAGGTAGAAAGACATTTTCGAGGGTGGGTTCTCTCTGTTCCGCAAATGTTTGGAACACAGGAGAGACAGACACTCCAAACACACCATCGTCCTCACAATCAATGTATTATCTGTCACATTAGAAGGTATTTGTCTTAAGCTTGCTCCTATGGTCATACAGTGGCTCTTCCTCAGGACGAGCAGTAATTTTGTATTTCTCTCAACTTTCTCCAAACTTCTGCTTTAACTCATTTGTGATGAGTTGTAAATGATTCCTCCACTCTAATTTGCCTTGGTTGACACACATTCCTCACACTTTTGCAGAGGATGCCCTAAGTATGCAGATACATTACCCTGTCACTTTCTCTATTTACTTCTGGTTCTTGAGACCTTTTTTCCTGGTGTAAAAGTGATTTTCTTAGTTTGATTTTCAGATGTCTTTTCTGTCAGGGTACATGTTTGTAACAAAACTTTATTCTTAATTAAGAATAAAGAAAAATTAGAATTAACTTTTTTACTTTATTTTTATTGTTTACACTATTACAGATGTCCCAATATTCCCCCACTTTGTGCAAGTACCCCCTTCGCCCTTGCCCCGCTCTTTCCTCTGACCACTACTATTCTGGTGTCTGTGTCTATGTGTCATGCATATATGTTCTGTGGCTACTCCTTTTACATTCTTTCATCCAGTCCCTCACCAGACACCCCCCCCCCACAGCTGTATGTTCAATGTATATATGCCTGTGTTTCTATTTTGTTCATTGGTTTATTTTGTTTATTAGATTCCACATGTAAATGAGATCATATGGTATTTATCTATCACTGACTAGCTTATCTCACTCAGCATAATAACCTCCAACCCTGCCCATACTGTTGCAAAAGGTAGGAGTTTATTCTCTTTTTTTATTAGCCACATAGAATTCCATTGTGCAAATGTACCACAACTTTTTAATCCACTTACCTACTGATGGGCACTTGAGGTGTTTCCAGATCTTGGCTCTTATAAATAATGCTGCTATGAACATAGGGGTGCATACATTCTTTCAAATTGGTGTCCCGGGATTCTTAGACTATATTCCCAGAAGCAGGATTGCTGGGTCAAAAAGCAGTTCCATTTTTAATTTTCTGAGGAAATTCCATACTATTTTCCACAGTGGCTGCACCAGTCAGCATTCCCATTAACAAGGCATTAGGAATCCCTTTTCTCCATATCCTTGCCATTACTATAATTATAATTTAACTGTTAAACTTCTTAATCTACATTAACCTACTCCTAAATCACTGGATTATTACTAAGAAGTGAAAAATAACCTGCCTTGGTCTAAACTTAAAAAAAAAATGAACCAGAGTTTCTAATTTTGTCACTATTGGAACTAATTAATTCATTAGATGTTAAATATACCTAAAATAAATTACTAGGTGAATTTTAATGCTACAAATGCTTCCTCACTTAAAACATTCCACCTCACTGCCCTGACCAGTGTGGCTGAGTTGCTCAGGCATTGTTCCACAAGCTGAAAGAAAGCTCATGGGTGTAGTTTCCAGTTGGGGCACATACCTGGGTTACTGGTTTGGTCCCCAGACTGGGTGAGTACAAGAGGTAACCGATTGATATTTCTCTCCCACATTAATATTTCTCTCCCACATTGATATTTCTCTCCCTTTCTACCTCTCTCCCTTCCCCTCTCTCTAACAATAAATAAATGAAATCTCCATAAAAATAGTTTACCTCACTGTATCATGAATAATGAGCCCCTACAGTGCATTTAAGAATTTTTTGAGGGGGACAGGTGGTCCAAAATGACACTGAGTAGGTGAAAGTTGTATTCCCCTCCTCCCAGGACCAAACCAGAATTACAGATGAATTATAGAAAAATCAACCTAAATAACCAACTGAAGAGTTATTGAAAAGAAAAACTAAAACATTGCCTTTAAAATCAGGAACAAGACAGGAGTGTCTAATTTCACTACTCTTACTCAATATAGTTCTAGAAGTGCTAGCCACAGCAATCAGACAAGAAAAGAAATAAAAGGCAGCCACAGTGGAAAAAAAGAAGTAAAACTGTCATTATTTGTGAATAACATAATACTGTACATAGGGAATCTTAAAGATTCCACCAAAAAATTACTAAAACATAAATGAATTCAGTGAAG